CGTCTTCTAGATCCCAGGAGCAAGAAGACGCCAATGTTCTGAACGGCTACAATCCCCAGGGGGTACGCAATGATGCAATGTGTGTGTGTGTGTGTGTGTGTGTGTGTGTGTGTGTGTGTGTGTGTGTGTGTGTGGACTTTGAATTTTAACACACAAGGACATAAGAGACCACAACATGGAAAGAAAAAGTGAAAAAAAAAGTCAAATAATCATCACTAGATTGAAGTACGGATTGCTTGTAGGTCATGTTGTTTTTTTGCAATAGTTAAAGTTATAAGAGTACATAAATCAATAAAGAATAAAATAAATACACAATCAGACATAAAACTAATTTCATTCATTTTATTTTATTCACTCAGTAATAAATATGAACAGTTCATCTAACTAATATAAATCGTGAATGAAAAGAAGCCGAAAGAAGCATAAACTCCATTCATATGAAAAGAAAATCAGCTTTCAGATCAGAAGATGTTCCAACAAAACATCAGCTCATTTAGTCCCATATAGCTTCATCATCATAATTTTCTCATTTCTTTTAAATGCAGAAAAAGATTTATATTTTATCTCACTGTCAAAATAATCCCTTTAACTGAAATGCCTTTCTGAATTAAATTTTCAGTTTGTTTTAAGTTGTATTTCTCTTTCTCCACATCTGTTTTGCATAGTGTTTGCTAAAATTGTCTTTGTACATACATTTTAAATTATTGAATACAAGACCTTAAATAATGACGTGAACATTTATATTTGGATTTTAAATGTTCGATTACCGTCTCAGATTTCTGTTCATATCCTAGTTTTTCGTGATGCATGAATTAATGATTAGTTGCAGCAAAATGACTGAATTTATTGAGATATTTCTGTGATTTTTAGAGTGGGGTTGTGCCATTCTTTACTGGACCTATTTATAACCCAGAGGACATTCTGATCGCAGGTAAACAAGGAGCTTTTATTCTGATTCACCCATCACTGTCTGATTTTATTAAAGCACATTAGTCTCCGTCAGCAGAAAGCCCAGGCAGCCAGGATATCCTCCAGGAGTGTCTGAGAGGACTGAACATCAGCCCTGGAGCAGGTAGTCTCCTCATCTCTGCAGCAGAAAACAAACCAGCGGTACTTTCCCCGCAAAAAAAAAAAAAAAAAACACTTTCCCATTTTCACCCAACTTTTCCACAGAGGGCACCACAGGCTTTCAGCCTCCTACTGAGCAACAGCAGCTGCAGAATCAGCTCGTGATTGGTGCGCACCCGTTGCCCGGGCAACAGCAGGATCCAGTGATGTTTGAGGGTGCAGCCCGTGAAACTGGGTTGCCAGAGCAACCGGCACGTCCAGCAGGGGGGGGAGCGGCGGAGGGGGGGAGCTACGGCGACGGGCAGCAGGCAGCGCAGTTCCTAGAAACGGTGAACCAGACCAGAGATGGAGATCATTTCAGTGAGTCACTCACTCTCACAGGAAATATTCCTGAAAAAAAACGACACGAAGCAAGAAAAACGACCAGAAGTTTACATACATGCACATCATGGAGGTTTCTGGGGAAATTCAGCTTCCTGTTTCTGATAACAGAGTTTGTACAGGTGCCAGAAATCCTTAGAAATGCTTTAATTTCAATTAAAGTACTTGATTCTGTGCAAACTTCTTAATATTAAAACTGCACAGATTTGTAATAAAGTGCAACCTCTTTCTTTCTCTCTTTCTCTTTCTCTCTCTTTCTCTCTTTCTTTCTCTCTCTCTCTTTCTCTCTCTCTGTGTCGCTCTCCATATATATATTAATTAATTTTACATCAGAGTACATGATACATGTTACGGTACGTTACATTAGTGGAAAAACACAAAACAAATGAAACAAAAAAAAAGGTATAACAAGGAAAGAAACAGTTTAGTAATTGTTTTTATATATTAACAACATAACTGAGATAATCCTAAGAATATTTGGTTATTTATTTGGATTTAGACACAAAACAGTCAGAATTCTAATTGACTAATTTAGTTTATTTTTTTGCTGTAATTCTTCTCTTTGTGCGTCTCCAGAGACTCATTTCAGGGTGGCTGTGTTCTACAGAGGGGTGAAGGTTTCTGAGCAGGAGGTTCCCAACGAAGCTGGACTTCGCTTAGTTTACAGGTATCAAGAAGGAGACAATGTTTGAGTTGCTCAATGTTCCAACACGAATCAGGAAAACATGCAGGAAAATTTCAGTCAAACCTTGACGCTCCTTTACATTCACTCAGAAATAACCCTTCATTTATAAAAGTCAGAATTCTGACTTTTAATCTCAGAAGATCAAAGGTCATCAGGCACTGCCCATCACCTAGCAACCGAAGTGGAGCTCCATTGCGTTTGGTCACTGTGTTTTTTAAAATGGCTGCTGGAACAGACGAGTGTTTTGTTGTTGACTTAGCATCCAGAAACCACTTGCTGATTGTGCAGGAGGCTCTACTAAAGCTTTTCAAAGATGTATGGTCGTATAATGGTTCATCTGATTGCAGCTATTTTCACTTGTGAGTGTAAACGTTGACTTCAGGCCAGCAGCAACTTATTTGGATTTAAAGTGACAAAACGCCCTAAAACAACTCAAAATAGGCAGAACTGAGCAGACTGAAATCTCCTCACCTAAGAATGATTTTGCGTCACCCACAGATCTATGCTAACCTGTTCTCAGAAGCGCTACAGGTCACCTTCACCCCACTCTTCTTCTTCCGTCTCATCATCACGTCAGGCCTGATGTAAACGATGCAGTTTTGGATCATGAGACGGGCCTCTGCATCGTCTCTCTGCCGCGCCCGGTTGGCATCCTGGATCAAATCCAAGCCTCTCTGACCCAAAGGATCCTGGACAGCCTGGGCAGCCTGGATGTGGGCATGTCGCAGCACGTGATCTACGGCCAGCGGCGCGGCGACGTCAAAGCCTACTGGAGCTTCTCCAAGTTTGACAGCAGCATGCAGCCGCGCGAGATTTCTAAACTGAATCCTGAACCTCTTTACCAGGTGAAGGACTTCATCCGAGGTGCGTACGGAAACGTCTGCCTTTAAGGGAGCCTGTGTGTGACTAGATATGCAGCATGTTATCTGTTATTTCCTGTAGGATTAATGGACTTTTTTGATGGGAAGGAATCCCCAGCGTCCTCCATGTTCTTCTGTCTCGGGGAAAAGTGGCCTGACCCGGAAAACAAGCCTTGGGAGAAAAAACTCATCATGGTGGAGGTGAAGGAAGGCTTTCATTTTAAATGACTGAATGGAAAACAGAGAAAACTGAACGTAAATCCTTTCAGTTGTCAGGATCATGAGTTTGACTCGTCTCCTTTCTTCTCTCTCAGGTGGTTCCCACTTCAATGGAGCTTCTGAAGAACGCAGCTGTTGAATGTGGCGCCTCCTCCCTGCGGTCTGTGGAACTGCAGATGTCACTGGAGGAAATGATGGATCTTTACTGATGAGTTTGTTTTTGTCCCTCTTTCAATGTGAGGACATCTCAGTTTATTATGTTTTTATTTGACGCCAAACAGATCCTGCAGAAATAATCACCACATTGTCGCTGCGTTAGCTGGGACTGAACAAAGTAATGCACGTGACTATAAATATGTTTGTTTTTCTCCTTTATCTTTGGATTTCGATACACAAAATGAATAATTTGTAAAACTTATTTGAGTCCCTTCAAAAATATGGTAGTTTTAAAATAATTTCTTGCAATGAAAACATCCACCACAGATTCTAATTCACTCGTTGGTGATTATATTGTCCTGATTATGATCTTATTTACTGCAGAAAATAATAAATGTTTTCATCTGAGTTTAGTCTTCATCTGGACCCATTTGTTCTTGTTTCTTGTTTTAATTTTTTAAACTACGGATTAACTGTTTTCCCTTTTCTTATGTCATTTCTTGTTTCACATCTGCATTTATTAAATGCCATGTTCTTCTATTTTTCCCATTTTGAATTGTCATATGATGTTTCAACATGATGGAAACAGGATGTCATGAATAACTAATAAAAAATTTACAGATTGTCTTTTTAACCCATAAGAACGGTTTAGAAAATGCTTCATTACTGTCCATTTGAATTTACTGTGAAATTTAACTAATTTAGGCTTTAGGCCACTAGGGGGCAGGACATTTCTAATATTAGCCTTGCTGTGTGCTGAATATGCATCAACAGGCAACAGTGGTACATTTGACGATTGTTCTTTTATTTCAATGTGGGATTGTGCTACTGCAAAAAAATGTGAATTTGTCTCAGTTTGTTTTCAAAACATGCTGCAGTTTTATATTCATCTGTGCTCCATGATGTCCTGTTACATTAAATAATTGCTGCAAGCTGTAAACTTAATCTCATGTTTGTAATCTTGGCTGATCAAGAAATACTGGATAACTTTAGAAAGGGCCATCTTTTTAATACACAGAGAACAAACTGCAATAAAACACTGATGTCATAATCACAACGAAACTGATTTCTTCTCAGGAACTACAACACAAATAAGAAGTGAAATCTGAAGTCAGACCAATGTGAAAGGTGCTCTACATCTTGTTTCTTTAAATCCTCTTTATCCATCCGTCACTGACAAACAATTTCATCTTTTGTCCTCTGTTGTTCCAATCAGAGCATCCCATTCCTGTACCGACCAAACTGGAGAAATTAAATGTTTACAAAACCAAATCAATAAAGTGGATTCATGAGGTTGTCGTGTTTCAGTCGTCTTTGTCTGATTCTGCCTCGTTTTCCGACTCGGACTTTGCTTCCTCCAGACCCGCCATCGGGACCAGCTTCCCCTCTTCATCCATTCCCATCGGCTGGATGATGTTTTCTCTGCAAACAGCAGATCAACACGCGGATAAATCATGTAGAGGAAATGGCGGTTATGCTTTGTTTTCTTTCAGGAGATAAAAAAGCTTCACAGCCCAAAGAGCTTGAGATCAATTAAATTTGTCAAGCTTTATAAAGCGCCATTTACTTAAAAATACGATATAAATGTGTTTCTTTTATTGTGGAAAAAAAGCAGGATTTCATTTCTAGTTTTAGATTTTAGAGAATATGTTTTCTTGAGTGATACATTTACCATTTAAGGAAAATAAAGAGGTAATTTTCAACCCAATGACAGAAACGTGCCTGAGAATGTAGCAGTTCTGTCATTCTGACGCTAAAGTTGTTTTTCCTACTTGGACAGCTTGTTGAAGAGCATGATGAGCCTCTTGGCCTCCTCCTCCTTCTCCTCCTCCGTCATGCCCTCCATCGGGTTCGACTGCTCCGCCTCCACCCGCCCCGTCACCGGGTTGATGCGGTCCTTCATCTGCCGGTACTCCTCGGTGTCCGAGTCCGAGTCGCTGGAGTACTGGGCGTCGGAGACGGCTCTCTGGCCGCCCAGCAGCCCCCTGGTGGCCAGCAGCCCTGCCGCGTTGCCGTAGCCAGTGTACTTCACAAAACGCCGCACTGAAACCAAAGAGGAGCAGCAGACTCCCTAAAAACTGTATTTTTGTTTTCTTTAGGACAAGACTTTTCAGATCCAAACAAAGGTTTACCGTTCTCCTTGCAGAGGACAAACAGGAGGTCGGCGGCGCAGTGTTTGAGGTCGGTGTCCAGGTGAGTCATGAGACGAACCAGGCGACTCTTCACAGTGTCTCCATCCTCCGGTCTGTGTGACACATCCCTCAGAGGAGGGAGGATCTGACGGCAGGAAAAGGTTCAAATACAGACACAGAATCAATGGATCTCAACTTCAAAGTGGAAACAAAAGCAAAGTATTGGCAAAGACAGATGGGAGAGGAAGTCAGGACCATGAAACTCTTGTTTTTCCAGTTTTTCCTCAATCAAAGGTGGTGAAAGAAAAACACAAACCATCATATCTATCATTATAAAGCAAACAGTACAAAGTAGTAAGTTTTTTTTCTTTACCAAAGTCCTAACTTGCACTTTTACGTGTTTTCTTCATAATCCATTATAATTATTGCTGTTTTTAGTTGTTTTATTTATTTATATAGGCTAATTAAAATATTTTCCAGTTCCAGTTCTTTAGAAACTAAAGTTTTTCTGATCTTTTGGAGGGTCTGCTTGCATTAATATGCCACTATTATTATTATTATTATTATTATTATTATT